TGAGTATGCTATCATTTTCACCCCAGTCGTCTTGAACACAGAGAATATCTTGTTAAATCTATTTGTCTCAGGCCTCCAGAAATAGTGGAGTGACTAGTATAAAGACGTGACTCATAAACCCTATGGTTTAGAGTAGACCCTGTGGTTTTAGGGGACAGTGAAATAAGATGGGATCTATACAGATTCAGGGTGCATTGTAATTGTATTTGTGTCATTAGAGAAGGCACAGCAGATTAACTCACACTGTACTAATAGGGCAGCCCCCCCAAGGAGACCCTTTGTTGTTGATTACAGTGAAACAAAGGAGGGGCATCAGCACGGCAAACATTCACCCCACTGTAGTCACATATACAGACTACAGAGCCTCTGTGTGGGGCAAGAACACAGCACGACAGCGAGAGAGAGAGACTTATTCATGCTTTCACATCAGTATCTGAGAGGATGGCTTCACTCTCTCAGCTCATGTCTTAGAGGAGGACTCAGTCAGACAATTTTCGTTGGTGCTTCAGCAGCAACAGGGGGAGTGAGTGAGAGAGATAGAGATTATATGCTTACCGCGTTCACGCTCTCCAACCGAAGGGGAGTGAGTGAGAGAGATAGAGATTATATGCTTACCGCGTTCCCGCTCTCCAACCGAAGCTAACGTCAAATCTCTTTTTAACAAGGGGAGGGGGGAGATGGGGGAGGGGGCGAGACATGCGAGATAACTCACTGAGCACGTCTGAATGGATTACCCACTCTGCTAATTATGAACAAAAAACACTGTAATTATGCATCAGAGTGGTTTTACTCTCCATCCTCTCTCTCTGTTTTAATTATGCTTTGGAGTGGGAAGGGAAGGGGGCTCTCCAATTGGCCTTTCCGGAGTAACAAAAGAGCAGAGCCACTGAGGCAGAAAGGTGAGGAGGCCACAGGCTTCATTTCGACAGGGTGCAGGGATGAGGTTCATCATCAGAGCTCCACAGAGAGAATGAGATGGCCTCTCAGTAGTCAATACAGAGGAAGGTTACAGCCTTAACTGGACGGTGCGCGTTAAATTATTTTTCTACCTGATTTGTGACACAAGGAATAAACCTAGTTTGAATGGTCTTCTGTGGCCAACTTAATTAATTTCATTGAGATATTTAGTGTACAGTTAGTATCAGGAAGTGGACACTGCATTGCCTCAGGTGACATGACATACAATATATAGGGTGTGAGCAAGGTTGGCAGTCAATGGCAGAGTAGGTGGGACAGTCGTTTAACGGGGCGTGCCGAGTGCAGAGGAGGTCTGACAGGGTTCACAGCAGCATCAGCGGGATGGAGAATCAAAATAATAACAGCGGATCCCTTCCATTTATAGAGAGCCCTCCCAGGAGACACAGCCTTTAATAAACGCCAGACCTAATGGACAAAATGTCCGTCCCTGGTCTGCCCTATTAACCTAGCATGAAATTGTACCCCTATTCTGTTGATGTTTATGCTGATTTTACCCTCCAATGTAATTCACAGCCTTCTCTTTGTGACTGACTTTGTCTGCTGCCTTTGTTAGACTTAGCACATCTATAGGTGTACTTTAAAGCATGGAATGTTATTTAATGGCTGTGGAGGGTATTATAATTTTGGGGCATGTGTATTGCCTCCTACTGCCCATAGCCTGCACTACACTAGACATACAGTAGGTAGGCACATGTAAATCATTATGTAATTAGGCTGGCAAATTGAGCTGCTTTTCAATGCATACTTGATACGATACTCATATAATATTCAGATTGCTTGTATGGTGACAAATTGAAGATAAATTATGATTAAGCCATCGGCATTGATTTGTAGAGCTAAAACATGAGAAAAGTACTATTACTGAGCCATTACATATCTATTACTAGTGTGAGACACAATTTACAGAATGTAAGCTATTCTTTTAGCATTAAGATTGTTTTCAAGATCCTAGTTTAACAATTTACATCATCTCGATAACCCCAAGAGGCTATAATTTCCACAAATTAAACCCAGTAGTAAACACTGAGAAAAAAATATCTCTGTTAACATGAACCCTCCCTCCTTATTTTAGAGTTTTTTATTCCCATTGGAAAAAGCTGCAGTTGTCAGCTCAGGTCTTCATCTCAGCCAAGAGTAAATATTTTAGCGTTAGAATTAGCGGGAGCAGGGCAAGTAGAAGCCTTTGTTAACCTCCTAGCTGAATGAATCTTAGAGGAGTCAAATTTTTATTTTTAAACATGTCAATGCTGTTCTTTGTCAAGGGAGGAATGCTGATGCTAACCAAAGATGTCTCTGAATTTGCCATGCAAACAGATATTATGTATGACTGATTGATTGGTGCAGAGGACATGGCATCTGATCGGGAAGAAAGACTCCCTGTATTTTGATTATTCCGTTTAACGAGATTGACCCTGATGGTAACATATTGTACAATATGCACATTTTATTACTGTATTTCATGTAAATCGTCTTTATGAGAATTAGGTCATTTCTGGGTTAAAGCCCCAAACTCTAGAATAGCAAACTCTCAGTGCATGCAGACAGGGAAGCTGAGTGATGACGTGAGTATTGTTAAGTGAATGCTTGTCCAAATCATTCACAGCAGGCAGAGGAAGTCAGATTAACTAAATTGACATCGAAGAGTAATATTTTATCAGAGGTTGAGCCTTGAAACTAGGGTACTATGTAGTATTAATGAATCCTTGTAGCACAGGCCTGACATGCTTTCTCCTGTCTGACTGTGTTTGTGTAATGATGTCAGGTTTCACATGCAAGGATGTCATATGCTTTTCTTTGGAGGTATGTAAAATGTTACATTGTAGGATACTGAAATTGTCAAGACAACGTAACCACATACATGACTATGTTAACCATAGAATCCCATTCATTAAACATTAAACTGCCACTGGGACACAGATCACTTCATTCAAGTTTTTTTTTTAAATTGATACATATGCTTCCCATTTAGAGTACATTGTTACATATAGTTTAACCAGAGTTAACATCAAAGAGCCAGCTATGGTCTGGTTTCTTATCTCCCTCATTGATGTCCATATGAGTTTGTTTACATTGATGTTGGATCACAGAGAGTAGGATGATTGATCTGTACACTAGTCTCTTTTGAGTCCTGTAGGTACTGTCAGCATTTGCAAGTCTAACATGCCTGAGATGACACCTCTTTTATCTAAAACATGGATTTACATATAACCTACACAGATCATATGCCATCTAAATATAATATGGATACTTGTGTCATAACTTAGTTCTAACAGACACGTCTTTCTTTGAACATAAAAAACCCTTTGGTCAAAGGTCCAATGGTCATACATAATGTATACCTAATGGTACAGTATGATTAAAACAAATATTTCCCAAATATTACTGATATTCCTATATAGTATCCCCTCATGATTATGGCGATGCACTGCCTCCTATGGACAAAAAACGGATAATATGTTAGTCTATTGGACAGATGTGAATAGCGTACATAAAAAAACTAATAGAAACGTGAACCTATAGGTTATTTACGGAGGGATATACAAAGCATCTCTGATTGGCTCCAGTAATTGACTGGAATGGAGTAGGCTAGGCACATTACTCTTGATCCGTTCAGCGCGTAAACAGTGACATGTGCCTTCTCACACCACGGATCAAAAGGTTTCAAACACAATAATTATTTCACAAACGTTGTTCGTGGATAGGATTCGGGTGCTAGTATCAGTAGTTGATTGTCTCGTTGTGAAGTATTTTCGCTTTGTTCCATAGATTGTTCTCGTGCCGTACTGACGCTTCTAATCATCAAAGTAAACAAACATATTTTTTGTCTTTAGGAAAAGGGCTCCACCAGCTGGTTACAAAGATAATTGCAGCATATTTCAGACAAAGGCCTTACATAACTGGGTTATGAATAACTATGCCTACACAAGGCTGCTGTGAATGCTCACAAAATCATTATGACATTGAAAATGGAAGTCTGGGTAGCCCACATATACGAAAGATCGTAAGACGCACTCATGCAACTGTCTTGTCTAGGCTACATGTGTAGGGTCTTAATTTGAGCCAGTTTGCTACAGCAGGAAAATAATCCTGCAGCAACAGGAAATGTGAATTATTATGTGGACTATAATTAATATACATCTTTGTAGGGGTTGATACAATTTTCGTACGGGAAAATCAAGGATGAGATTTCAAAGTGGAAATTACAAACTTCAGAAGCCTTTCAAACCTCAAATACACTACAAGTTAAAAATTTCCTGGATTGCAGGAAAGTTCTCCTGCAACAGAATGATCAAATTAAGATGCTACACCTGTATATTATATTCCAGAGCGTGTAAAATATGCGCAAAACCTATACATCTATGAGTAAAACAAACAGTAGGCCTTTCTTTCCCTGAAGTCTCTGTAGTATGTAGTGTCACCTAAATGCACTGTAAATAACGTAGTTTATGATTTAATTTGATAGCACATCTGTCATTATAGTCTGACACCATTTTAACATAAATACTTGACATGTTTATCCACCTTATAAACCCAGAAGCACCATAAGGCACCATAAGGTTAGTATCATCCGTTTCAACAGTACTATCTAATCAGTCAATAGACAAATTCCAATCAATCACTGCGTTTATTACTTTGATTCAAGGGCATCAAAGTCTTTACCCTTTGAACCAAAGATGTATATGATATTTTATGATGAACCTGGACCGTTTGAGATGGACGTCTTCAAAAAAAAATGAAGCCATGATGCACCATTAGGCATTTCCTTTAGTACAAAGGAATGTAAATTGCATAATAATGAGGGGTTACATTTTACAGCTAATCTTATTATTGAAGTGTCAACGGAGGAGTATATAGTCTGGGGTTCATCATAAGAGTGTAGATTTGAAGGAGGACAGTGACCTTGGTTGGAGAGGTGAGACAAAAAGTAGCCCTGAGCACGAACCTAACTATTTTTGAGGGACTTTTAGCTCTGAGCATGGATGCGACCAAAATCTCAAACTTCAGCATCGATCGCATTTTAGGCACTGAAGAGGGACCTTCTTATCCAACTGGAGCCGAATCTTTACAACATTTTGAATGTTTGTCTGGCATCTTCCTCCATGGACACTCAAATGGACATAATGGAAACTGGAAACTATGGTATGCCTAGGCATCTGACAACCACCCACATGCTGCAGGTTCCGACCATATCACACACTTTTGATTATAGTAGCAGTTACCTTAGCTATGGATCATTTAATTGTCATCATGCAGATATAAACCTGTATCCTAGTGCAACTAAAAACAGAGTTTTGATGAACGATGAAAGAGGTGAGATAGTGTTACATTTCATTATTTCACAACACAGACTGTATGCTGAGGCCACAAAGTATTGAACTGTAGTGCTACATTGTTACAAATTATTAGGCCTATTTCTCAGGCTTTCCGTTTTTTCTCTCTCTCTTTGCTTACTTTCGACTACTTAATCAAGTTTTTATTTTTTATTTTATTTTATCTCAGGGTCTCAGCCTCTGTGCATTTATTTGGACCAAGATGGAAACCAAAGAAACCGGAGCAGAATGCGCACGGTGTTCACGGACAGCCAGACCAAACAACTGGAACAGCTGTTAGAACAAACAGATTACCCCGGCGTGGAGGTACGGGCGGAACTAGCCAGGAACGCGGGCCTCACGGAGGAAACCGTTAGGGTAAGAGAATGATACGTTTGCTTTTAACTTTGAAGTTGTTTAGAAAAGTGGTTGTGAAACTGTGTAAGTTACACGTAATTTTCTGGACTTTACATAATTTTTTATATTTCTCTAGGTATGGTTCAAAAACCGTCGTGCGCGCCGAAAGAGGCAGAAGAGCGGCACCAAGGCCAAATCCCCAGACTTGACTACGTCGAAAAGAGACCAACAGTCTACAACAACCGCAGCTACGAGGGAAACAGCTTCTCATGATTCCTCTGATGATAACAAGAACATTTGCTTTCTTTACACTAATTTATGTTCCCTTGATTTCATAGGCCTTTAGGCCTACTCACCATGCGTAAATATCCCCAGATAGAAATTCATTGGTGGGCATTTAATGTAAAAACGAAATTCAATTGTTAGACCTGCAATAAATGCACATTTGAGCAATTACAATAAGTGTCTGAGTGATTTATCTCTAGTTGTTTGAACAAAAGCAAGCAACAGAAAATGTAGAAAACAACATCAACTTTTATTAGATTCATAGTCAGAGTTGTAATTATAAGCATTTTCATGTTGAGATACACCGTCAGAAAAAGAAACTTTCAGAAAATAAAGAGCATGCAATGAATATTATGCATGACACTAATAAATCCAACATTACAGCACCCTTTACCTGTTTTGGGACACAGACACAAACACACTATAAAACTGGGGGAAAAAAGTACACTTAGTGAAATTATCAAAATATATTTTTAACAAACTGCAATGACATGTCTGTGAAGAAAATTAACAATTTTTGAGATCAAGTTTTAGAATAACATGTTTTTTTAAATAATGACAGTACACCACTTAATAGGATTATATCAATTTTCATAATGTCCTTGAATAAACAAAACATTTGAAGAGAGGACTCATCAATGCAGATTCTTGTCATGTTGTTAGTTGTAGATGATGACAAAGTGACAAATTAGTGACATCTACTGGCATATTACGGTACATATTATGCTACCAGAGTGTAACGTTCAGGCAATAACTACACAATTCGGATCAATCTTTGCCTCAAACAACTTTACTTGAGTATTAAATCTGCCAGTCAACCAACTATTCAACTCAACCATGTAGTAAGTATGACCAATGTTGCATCGTATACTTATATCTAATGACATTTCTCCCAGCATAGTGGTAAAAACAAAGACATGGTGATGAATTCTTACTCATTCTCAAGCACTTCAGTATGGGGTGAGGATGATTTTCTCACAGTCCTTCTTGACAGTATAATTTTAGCATACTTGGCTAACAGAGGATTTTAACAAAGTGAGCTGTCCTGACAAAGTTTGCAACACTTTGTGTTGAGATAGTCTTAATTAAACTGAATAAAAAAGGAGAAAAGTTCCAATTGCCACAGGTTCTCAAGTATCCCACTACATGAATTTGAGGTGTAATGGATGAGTTTCTCTCAAACTGGATATACTAACAACCCTTATTCAGTTAAAAATGAAGCTGAAGCTGACTCCCTCATAGTATCCTTGTTGTTCAGTGGCTCTCTTACAGACTAGTCATAACCTTATACTAGCAATAGCAAAACAACCACACATTGTTGCGTTCAGTTCCACATTGTTCAGTACCACATTGTATAAGTGGCGATTTCGGAAAACGACATGGTGCAAGAGTATTTAGACCCTTCCTGATAATGAGTATTTTTTGCTGTTCCACGGTGCTGTTAACACAGGATGTTCACAATGGTGTTCGGAGAGTGCAGGAGCAAGTTCAGGTGTTTTTTTCTCCCCCTCATGGTGTGCTTACATTGTGTTGAGTAGACAAAGACACTATCCATATCCACATAGCTAAGTACACAGGTTAAATATTTCTGTTTTTATGCACATACTCATAGATTTTGACATTAAGCGCACACAAGTTTAGACAGTCAGATTTTTTTCTTCTAATGCTCACATTCACAAACTTACCAAAGTCTAACGTTGAGAGAGAAGGAGAGAGAAGCATGAGAGGATAGCCAACAGGGGGTGTGAACTGTGGTAGCACTGAGCTAGCAGGTGTTCTGTCTGTGCAGATTTAGACTGAGATTAACACTATTAGTGCAACAACGAACCTAGAGATGGGGAGGAGGGCACTGGTTTATCAAGAAACGTACCTTTAACAAGTATATTGTGGTACCCATGTAGATTTCCTATTTCTATAAACAAAACTTAAATGTGGGCAAATAAACTTTTTGCTAACATGACGTTTAAGTTAAAGTTAAAGTTAAGTAAAAGTTAAGTTATTGCTACTTTATGCTACACAATAAAGACAACAGCTTTAACGATATTAACAATATTAACCTAGGTGGTTTCCCCTTACATTACCTGCCATTACATTTTGGGGTTAGCAGCTATTTTGGTTAACATAACTTGGATCTGAGACCAACTGGTTCAAAGTGCAATAAACATCTAAGACCAAGTTATGAAAGTCTTATTTACCCAGTTATGCAGTGTCCATATTACCACGATTTAAACCATTCAAGGGTACAGAAGATATCTGTGCAGATAAAGATGTCCTTCAGTAATTAAGTTGGGACATTATGATTAACATATATGTACGTGCTAGCATTCCCTTACCTAAAACAGGTAACTAGTATTTTACAGGGATCTGTCAAAGAATTTAGCAGGCTACCAGAAACCAGGAACCTCAGTTTTTGTATCATGTGTGAGCATATTACAATTTACACAAGCCCATTAACAAGCAAATCGATATTATATACATCATTCCAATTGCATATTTGGGAAAATGCTCAGAGTGCAAGTGGAGAAATAGTGGATGTAGGAATCCTGAATAATATTAAACCCTGTTTTCTTTTGAACATACGAGATTAGAAGAACATGACCATATGTTCATGTCACATCTTTTCACAAAAAAAAGTTTATGTGAAAATGAATTTGTAACACCATTTGACTCACACATCCACATTTTGGATCAAACCCTTTAGCACACTGACAGACCATGTATTACTTTGAGGATAAATGAGGCCCTTGGTCTCCTCTGAAATACTGGACATTAGGATGAAGCAGCAGCAAAACAATTAAGTATAGCATCATGTACTTAGTCATTTGAAAGGTTCCCTAGTAGAAGCTCCATGGCATAAGAAGTTGGCTGACTGGTCAAAGGGTTTTGGCAACTGCTGACAGGGGGTGTGTAACAACAAGCAATCAACACCAAAATAGAGTAACTTACAAAAACTAAGTGATTATATCTATTAGATAATTGCTTTTGTAGGGTTTGTGTCCCAGATTTCGAGTTACAATTATTTAGTCTCATTATTAGTGTTACAAACGGAATGCAGGATGTTAGTTAAATACAAGGCACTAGGTTTTGCTATAGGACTGACTGCAATCATGGAGGGGGGGGCAGTGGTTCACTACTGTAATTCTGACAGCAACAGCCAGAGAAAAGCACAAATGAAAGATGGACATTAAGAGGAGAGCAGTAGATCTTTTGAAGTGGAGGAAGAGGAAGGAGAGTGTGGTTAAGACTGCATCTCAGCACGCAGCATCCAGGGGAACCAGCAGCAGAACAGCAACCTGAGGAAGAGGATGAGCAGGAGGAAGAGGAAGAGGGATTCGTGTCACTGGACACATTCATTAACAGGGGCTTATTTCTAATCTGCTATTTGTTGACTCAGAGACAACAGAGAGAGGAAAAGAATAGACTGTACCTGGATATTGAACTCTCAGACGTGATGTCCTTGGGTGACCTCACTGCGTTGAATTTACGCTTTGGCTGGTTCACTAGAATAAACAAAGAACATCTTTGGAAAGAATGCAGATGTGGGAGTAGAAGGTATATCATAACATGGGGTGGTGTGGCACGCTGGCTAACATGGCTGGATGGATTTGACCTCAGAGACTTACTTGACACCTGGTGGACTTTTTTCACCATCGTGCCATCGCCGCTCTGACCGTCCTTTGGTCCGCAGATTCTGAGAGATCATTAACAGCAGTAGTTAGTATTGTACCAGACGGTCAGTCTGTTCAGAATGAAACTTTACAATCACAACAGAGCACGTTGTATATTGTCTAGCTCTCTGTCTGACAATGACTGATAAGCAAGGTAACTGTAAAATGCTTTCTTATCAATAAAGTTGTTACGTTATCTTTTTTTAGGGTAATTGTTTTGAACCAGGTGTTAAAGTAGGTGTTATGTTACCTCTGTACGCGAGATGGGGGTGCAAAGACGCCATACTTGGGCAGGCAGTTGAAGTAGCGTACACCAAAAACAGACCCGTCATGTTTTCCCGTGGGATGCTCCAGCTCCACACCAAACCAGTAACCTGGACACACACACATCATCAATATTTAAACTTGATTAAACATTTCTAATCATTTGTCAAACATTTCTTTTAAATATCACCACCAGTGTTGCAATGACTTGATTTCACAACAGACCTACCTGGGGCAAAGTCTGTCTTTCCGTAATAGCGTATGATTCCTTGCTTCACACCAGCAACCAGCACCTGGTCTCCAAGTTCCACCTTCACCCCATCTGGGTCCAGACTGGCCATGGACATAGACTTCTTCCTCAGAGCTGATGGAGGAAATCAATCAAATGTTCGTTAACATGTTATAATGTGTTATAAAGTCTATGAGGCATGTGTTATTTATGTGTTATAAAGTCTGTGAATCAACAGATGGCTTGTTGTGCTCCTATGAGATTGAATGCAATGGCCCTTGATGGGGAGACTCTTGTACCTTTCTCTCTCTCCATTAGTTCCTTCTTTTCTTTCTTGTTCTTTCCTGTGACGCGGGAGAAGTCCATGCGGGGGGTCTTGGGTGTGGAGGTGACAGAGGAGGGGGCCTTCTCAACAGCTTTGGCGATTTTCGACACTGGAGCAAAGATACCTTCAGGACAATAGAAGTGATTAGAGAAAACCCTGAAAAAACCTGCAAGCTCATATCAAATTTACCACAGCTGTTTTTCTGAAAACTACCTGTACACAAAAGTTATGAAATCAAGTTTTCGCTTTGCTCTTTTCTCAAGGGGAAGCTTGACACATTTCAACAATATATTTAAGTAAGAATTCCCAAAATGGGAGTGAAATAACAGGTGGTTACCCAGTTTGGGGGGGCAGATGAAGTAACGCACCCCTCCCACACTCCCGTCATTCTTGCCCTCTGGCTCGTCCAGCTCCACCCCCACCCACTGGCCACTGGCAAACTCCGTCGTCCCACAGAAGCGCAGGGTGCCCGTCTGTGGAGGAGAGACTGTGTGAGGGCCAGGATTCAACATCAGCTCTGACATTTACCTCTCTTGTTTAAATTAGATTTTTACTAGCAAATTGAATTAACCTTATTGATCCCCACAGGAGCTCATAAAAAAACACATGATTTTTATTCTTGTATTATTGAAGGTGATACCAGGCAGGATTAAATAGTTAACAACACTTCTCCACAGCACTGAGGTAGGCTGCACTAGTCTCAGAGACTTCTCTAGACCAGGGCAGCATACTGATCTGCTGTTTTTCTGTCATACTTGACTACTGACATACTAGGCTACGGTTAATAGAGTAGTCTACACATCTCAGCACAATAACATGTTTTAAGTGGTTATGTTGTGGTCAGTAGGACATATTCTATATATAAAAAAGTATGTGGACAGCCCTTCAAATGAGTGGATTTGCTGACAGGTGTATAAAATCGAGAATACAGTCCACGCAGCAATGTTCCAACATCTAGTGGAATGCCTTCCCAGAAGAGTGGAGGTTGTTATAGCAGCAAAGGGGGGACCAACTCCATATTAATGCCCATGATTTTGGAATGAGATGTTCGACGAGCAGGTGTCCACATACTTTTGGTCACGAGTGTACGTTTGAACACAGTGAGAGGTGCAATAAAGCTGCACATTACAGACAGACGTAAAAATACACATAGGCCACACATAGGTTTCCAATGCATTTTAACTGCAGTGAGTGATGCATAGTAGATACCAAATGAATGCACCAAGGGAGACTACGTCATTTAGTGCAGTCAGTAATGCGGTCAGTCATGGAAATACACCTGAAAACACAATTAAATGTGTTCAGTTATGCAAGTAGACACACAGGTCGATGGCTACCCACCTGCTTCAGGTGATGCAGAGCTGAGATGTCAATTTCATCACTGCTCGATTTTTTGGGGAGCTATACGTGTTAACACAAGTGGGAATAAATGTTTGCTAGAATTCACGTTCTCTTCTCACACAGTACAACAAGCAGCAGGGCTCCACCATATAGGATGAATGCGACCTCATACTGGCCACTTTTAAAAAAAAGATAATTGAAAGCCATTGAAATGGTCTCATGCACATAAACGTGCTCACAAAATTCAGCATTTTATTTTAATTCACTGTTTCAATTCTTTGAGGCTCCCATTTCTCATCCTTTGCCTCCCAATCCCGACAAAACGCACACACACACCTTCATGTCGTCCAGCACCACACGGTCACCCAGTTTGAGGCCGATGGAGGTGAGCATGAGGTTGCCAGGGATGTTGTCGTAGTTGAGCAGGGTGGCGCGGGGCAGGTTGCAGCTGAGGGGCACAGAGTCCAGCAGCAGCTGCTTCAGCTCCTTCGCCACCATGGCCGCCTCCGCTTTGTCCAGAGTCATGTCCATGGGGTCAGGGACCACATCGGCCGGCCCCTGGCCTTTATCATTCTGTAAGAGAGAGAGAGAGCGAGAGAGAAGAGGATGTAGGGAGAGAGAGATGGAGAGAGAGAAAGAGACATGAGGAATAAATTGGCATATTTTTACTGTTTTGTGTAGAAGTCATCCCCACATAAAACAGAAACAGAATCTGTTTTTATCTGAAACATTGTTTTTAAAGAGCAACTTCCCCTAAAAAGCAACTTCTCGTTTTGAAAAAAGCCTATGTGGCATCAATATGAGTCAGAAACAGTTATAATAGTATGTCATGGAATGAAGGGTACTGTAACAGTTTTCCTTTGGTTGGGTTTATTTCACGAGACCTGATCATAATGTCCATGATCAATTTGGTTTGACATTCGATAGCTCTATGGGGCTAGTTAGGCACCATCAGTAAATTACAAATGTGCATGAGACAATATTTGAAAATGCCAATAGCTCCAAATTTCAATGTCTTAACCAACTATAAATTGTAGAAATGCATATACAAATATTGAAATAATTTAATGAGACAACTAAAAGATGTGCAACATGAAAATATTGTGCCATTTACATTGTGTAATTTATTGATGGTCCCTAACTAGCCCCAGCGCTATCCAATGTCAAACCAATTTTGCCACGGTCGCACACCAGCCGGCTGAAACTAATAGGCGAAAGAAGTTGGCTAGCAATAGCTTTCCTAGACGACTTCAAGACACAAGACCTGGTTAGACTGTTTCAAGTTATCTAGAAGGGTGAGTGGCTGTAACTGTGTACTGTTTTGGGAGAGTGAATGAACAAACCATACACTGCTTGCCACATGCGAACACACACAAAAGAGACACTTATTAAACCACCCCCCTAAGACAATTCTCAAAACGAGGCCAAATCAGGAAGTTCAGCCCTCATTTAAGTTACCATGAAATCATATCAAAGATGACATGAAACCACAAATGTACACCCATTTTATTAGGTACACCCATCTAGTCCCAGGTCAGACCCTCCTTTACCTCCAGAACAACCTGAATTATTCAGAGCATTCTACAAGGTGTAGGAAATGTTCCACAGGTATGTTGGTCCATGCTGACGCGATGGCATGCAGTTGCTGCAGATTGGACGGCGGTACATTCATGCTGCGAACAGCCTGTTCCATCTCATCCCAAAGATGCTCTATTGGTTTGAGGTCTGGCGACTGCGCAGGCCACTCAAGTAAACTGAACTCGCTATCATGTTCCAGGCTATGTTTCTCCACTCCTCAATTGTCCAGTGTTGGTGATCGCATGCTCACTGGAGCGGCTTCTTCTTGTTTTTAGCTGATGGAGTGGAACCCGGTGTGGTCGTCTGCTGCAATAGCCCATCCATGACAAGGATCGACGAGTTGCTGTTCTGCACACCACTGTTGTACTGCAGTGTTATTTATCTGTTTGTTGCCCGCCTGTTACACTCTTAGAAAAAAAAAGGTGCTATTTAGAACCGTAAAAGGTTCTTCGGCTGTCCCCATATGAGAACCCTTTGAACAACCCTTTTTGGTTGCAGGTAGAACACATTGTGTTCCAGGTAGAACCCTTTTAGGTTCCATGTAGAACCCTTTCTACAGAGGGTTCAACATGGAACCCAAAATGGTTCTACCTGGAACCAAAAAGGGTTCTCCTATGGGGACAGTCGAAGGACCCTTTTGGAACCCTTTTTTCTAAGAGTGTAGCTTGCACGATTCTTGCTATTCTCCTTCGACCTCTATCATCAGCGAGCTGTTTTCACCCACAGGACTGCTGCTGACTGGATGTTTTTTGATTGTCGCACCATTCTTGGTAAACCCTAGACAATGTCGTGCGTGAAAAGCCCATGAGGGCGGACGTTTCTGAGATACTGGATCCGGTGCGCCTGGCACCGACGATCATACCATGCTCAAAGTCGCTTAGGTCACTCGTTTTGCCCATTCTAACATTCAATCGAACAGTAACTGAATGCCTCAAAACCTGTCTGCCTGCTTTATATATCAGGCCACAAGACTCACTGTCTGTAGGAGCGATCAATTTTCATGAACAGGGTGGTGTACCTAATAAACTGTCCAGTGAGTATATATGCCATATTCAATTTCAGCACTTCTGTCTGTAGTTAGTTACCATGAGAAAGAGACATACAAACAGAGGTATAGACAGTCAATAGTGCTCTTACCCTGACAGTGGGGTTGGCTCCATGCTCTAGCAGACACTGGACTGATCCCAGACACAGGTTGGAGGCAGCGATGTGCAGGGCTGTGCCATGGTGGAAGTCACTGCAGGTGGAATTCAGCACTACAGAGACAGTACAACCAGGTTCAGAACAAATCAATCAGAATTGTATTGCCAAAGACAGCTATTATCATCGTTTTATTCTGAAAGCGTAACCAATTTCTTCTCTTAGGGGTTTCTGAAAGCGTAACCAATTTCTTCTCTTAGGGGTTTCTGAAAGCGTTACCAATTTCTTCTCCTAGGGGTCTCTGAAAGCGTTACCAATTTCTTCTCCTAGTGATCTCTGAAAGCATTACCAATTTCTTCTCCTAGGGGTCTCTGAAAGCATTACCAATTTCTTCTCTTAGGAGTCTCGTGTGGTGTTTGAGCCACATGGTCCGTAGACAGGAAAATAACAATGAAACGAAATGGCCAATCAATGGTCAGTGTGGTGGAGCGATGAGAAATCAATGTAGGAGTTAATTAAATGTCCTTGGGTCAATGCTTGTATGGGCTGGATGGAGTGTTAGTTCTGATTGGAAGTCCAGGGAGGGGAGGGACATAGAGGAACACAGACATATAGGAACACACAGGACATACAGGAGCATGCCAGAACTGACAAGACAGGCCCAAGCAGGAGCTATGGAGTGTGAGTGTGTGTGTATTTATGAGTGAGTGTGCGAACAGGGTGAGGAAAGTTGTCCAGGGAGTGTTTGGGGAGGTTTATTAATCTCCAACAGCTCATGAGGACTGACTATGTTGTTAGTTGGCTAGGTAGACTACATGGGTTGTGTTGATGCTACTCACCTCTGGGTTTGGAGGCCTTGAGGAGAATGCGAATCAGCTCTGGCACATCGAAGTAGGCTGCGTAGTGCAGGGCGTTCATGTTGGTCCAGCGGCTGCGGAGACTCACGTCTGCCCCCATGGAAATTAGCAGATTGGACAGCCTGAGGGCAGCGGCAGGGTCACCTGGATGGGGTCACAAGATGGACAAAATGTGTAGGAAACTACAGTAAATCTGCATTGAATCTTAGGCTAAAAACACGTTATATTATGAAAGCTTTATTGAGGATTCAGACATTTGAAATTAACAATCAGTTGAGGGTTTGAGAGACTCACCGACTCCATGGGCCCCGGCTTTGCAACTGTAGTGGAGCAAGGTCATGTCTGTCAGTCCGTCACGGTCATTGACATGGCAACCACGCTTCAAGATCTGTAAGAGGAGACAAGGACTGTTCAGTGAACTGAGAGAGAGAGAGAGAGAGAGAGAGAGAGAGAGAGAGAGAGAGAGAGAGAGAGAGAGAGAGAGTGAAAGAGATGCTAGGGGAAAGGAAGAGAGAGCAGATGCCTTTTAAAACACTATGAAACACTAAGGCCAGTCATCACTCACACCACACATACAGACCACACCACCCCAGGGCCATAGCCTCTCATCTCTCTGAGAGATGCTTCCTGTTCTTAGCGTAGCCACATTAGCAGGATGAGCCATTCACACCCAATTAGCACAGACGACACGTGTTAGTGAACTCTAATGATGGGGAGTTATGAATTCCTGCTGAGTCATGAATTAAGCGCTACGTCATTTCCACTGCATTGCAATTTCATCAGAGGCTATCATTGCTGAGTAGCATACATCTACATGAGGAACTGGAAGCCATTTTGGATAGGGTAAAACAAAGGGACACAAATATTGAAATGATGGCAGTCGTTACTGGAAGTGCCATTAATTTACTATGCAGTTTCAACTGAATATCTACGTTTGTACTAGGTACATTGAAAATAGTACAACTAGGAGTTAATAGCAAACTATTCATAGCAGCCTTTACAATGTCGAAAAACCTCCATCAATGTTTTGCTGAGTGTCAGATGTGCTATGTAAAGCCATATTCCCAATGGTGAAGATTAAAGAAGCAGTGAAACTCCAGTTAATTAGCTCTCTCCTCTGGTGCAAACAGACAGCAGTGACGGGTGCCGAGTGACAAGTGAAAAAGGACCCATCCTGATTCCTGAACTAGACTAGCAACTATCTCGGGATAGTTCATTATCCATCAGTGTCATTCAAGAGAGATGAAATGAGCACTCTCCTCAAGCCCTGACATTATGCCTTTTCATACAGAGACATGTAGTCCAACTGAATTAACATGATATTATCAGACAGGTCTTCTCCTGAGGCTTAACGATGACACCACCATGCACACTTTCATGATTCAACATTAATTCAACATGGATTCTATAAGATGGATCCCTGTAGCTGCAGTGCTAACACAAGGCTAGCACTGTCGAAAAGGAATTTGGGGCTAGTAGTAACTGATATTGGTGGAAATTCTTGCTGTCCAAGTAGTTTGTAAAGAAGCGGTGGCCAATCTGTAAGCGCCAGGTGCGTTCTGCTTTGATTGGAGCAAAAGCCTACACCCACACAGGCCTTTTGCAGATAAGTCAATGCATCTCTGTTAATAAAAACACTTTAAAAAATGTAAAGACATTGACTATTTGCCAGAGGGCTGAGGTTGTTTACTGAGGGTGCGGCGGAATGGTTCTTTGCCCATATCTGACGATCTGATTTAGAGTCTGCCTTAGTGCAGAGCCTGTCTGGGTAATGGAAAGGCCCTATTATCTCAGCCATCAATCACAGCCATCATGGGGTCCCGGGGACACCCAGGAACTGAGGCTGACTTTACGATCAATCCTAACACTAAAAGCTGCATCGCTAAGAGGAAACTAAGTTAACTAAGAGTGTGTATTTGTATGTGTGTGTGTGTCTGTGTACATGTGTTATGGGGCATATCTTCCCTCTCTCTAAGATAGTTGGGCAGGATTGGGAAATTAGTCTGAAACTTGAAGTATGCACACTCTTCCTCTTCAGGGTTATGAGAGTTCCTGCTCCTACGGTTACATTACCACTACTCACACTGCAGTAATTGTTTGTCCTGAGCTAAAGTTGTGCACTTTCATCTGAGCAACAGCAATATAAAGGGAATCAACTGAAACATAGCTAACTACACCTTACAGTGCATTCAGAAAGGATTCAGACCCATTCCCCTTTTCCTCATTTTGTTACGTTACAGCCTTATTCTAAAATTGATTAAATTAAAACAATTCCTCATCAATTTACACATAATTCCCCATAATGACAAAGTGAAAACAGGTTTTTTGAAATGTTTGCAAATGTATTAAACATAAAAAACAGAAATACCTTATTTACATAAGTATTCATACCCTTTGCTATGAGACTCGAAATGGAGCTCAGGTGCATGTTGTTTCCATTGATTATCCTTGAGATGTTTCTACAACTTTATTGAAGTCCACATGTGGTAAATTCAATTGATTGCCCATGATTTGGAAAGGCACACACCTGTCTATATAAGGTCCCACAGTTGACAGTGCATTTCAGAGCAAAAACCAAGCCATGAGGTCGAAGGAAATGTCCGTAGAGCTCCAAGACAGGATTATGTCAAGGCACAGATCTTGGGAAGGGTACCAAAAAACGTATGCAGCATTGAAGGTCCCCAAGAACACAGTGGCCTCCATCATTCTTAAATGAAAGAAGTTTAGAACCTGCAAGACTCTTCTTGAGCTGGCCGCCCGGCCAAACTGAGCAATCGGAGGAGAAGGGCCTTGTTCAGGGAGGTGACCAAGAACCTGATGGTCACTCTGACAGAGCTCCAGAGTTCCTCTGTGGAGATGGGAGAACCTTCCAGAAGGACAACCATCTCTGCAGCACTGCACCAATCAGGCCTTTATGGTAGAGTTGCCACACGGAAGCCACTCCTCAGTAAAAGGCACGACAGCCTGCTTGGAGTTTGCCAAAAGGCACCTAAAGGACTCTCAGACCATGAGAAACAAGATTCTCTGATCAGATGAAACCAAGATTTCGCCTGAATGCCAAGCGTCACGTCTGGAGGAAACCAGCCACCATCCCTACGGTGAAGCATGGTGGTGGCAGCATCATGCTGTGGGGATGTTTTTCAGCGGCAGGGACTGGGAGACTAGTCAGGATCGAGGAAAAGATGAACAGAGCAAAGTACAGAGAGTTCCTTGATGAAAACCTGCTCCAGACCTCAGATGGGGGCGAAGGTTCACCTTCCATAAGGACAACGACCCTAAGCACACATCCAAGACAACTTAATCCAGTTTAGAATAAGGCTGTGGAAAAAAGTGAAGGGATCTGAATACTTTCCGAATGCACTGTACATGACAACATCCTTAGTAAGAAGGTGTTTTTTTTTACAAATCCACTAGTACAGCCTCAACTTTGCTAAGGTGCCCCAAGGTGCTGTAAGTCATGCCACCAACTAAAGCCAAAGCCACCAAGCCTCCCATAATACAGATCCCATTATAAGAGAACCCATTAAGGCACAAGGCAAACATAAGATTAGTATTTCCCAGTCCCATGCCCATGCCCATACACAGTATGTGCTGTTGATTAAGCATGTGCTGTGTATGGGCATGGGATTGGGAAATACTAATCTTATGTTTGCCTTGTGCCTTAATGGGTTCTCTATCTCAAATCAAATCAAATCAAATCAAATTTTATTGGTCACATGCGCCGAATACAACAGGTGCAGACATTGCAGTGAAATGCTTACTTACAGCCCTTAACCAACAGTGCATTTATTTTAAACAAAAAAAGTAAGAATAAAACAACAACAACAAAAAAGTGTTGAGAAAAAAAGAGCAGAAGTAAAATAAAGTGACAGTAAGGAGGCTATATATACAGTAAAATAAAGTGACAGTAGGGAGGCTATATATACAGGGGGGTACCGTTGCAGAGTCAATGTGCGGGGGCACCGGCTAGTTGAGGTAGTTGAGGTAATATGTACATGTGGGTAGAGTTAAAGTGACTATGCATAAATACTTAACAGAGTAGCAGCAGCGTAAAAAGGATGGGGTGGGGGGGCAGTGCAAATAGTCCGGGTAGCCATGATTAGCTGTTCAGGAGTCTTATGGCTTGGGGGTAGAAGCTGTTGAGAAGTCTTTTGGACCTAGACTTGGCACTCCGGTAGGTTAGTGTGCTAAAGAGTCTGTAATCTTCTAGCAGGACCTTGGCCAACAACAACAGTGCACCGTTGCTGACCGGCTCAGAGCCGCAGAAGTTCACCACAAAGAGCAAGGGAACAACACAATTACTAGGCCCGCATTGACTGCATTCCTCCAGGGATCAAGGAACTCGATGCCTCTGCCCTGTTCGCAGCTCCTAAGAGCATGAGAGCAGAGCAGCAAGCTGAGCACAGACCAATGGACTTCTCTCCTTACTGCAAATGCAGCATGTGGCGATGGTGACCAACTCTAGACGGTTGCACGCAGCTGAAAGGCCACTGCTCTTTAGATTTCGATGAATCTGGGCTAAAAGGTGTGCAATGTTGTGTGATACAGTATGTTGATGAGTGGTTCCATGTTCTCTAATGACTGCATGGTGTATTTTGTTTCCTCTGTGTATTGTATTTTGGTTGGAGACCTGTATCTTTGGTGCACTATGCAGTAATATACTGTATCTGTCTGTTATGTACAGTAGAAAAAAAGAAAACAATTATATGGGTCCAAGCACAGAGCCTTGTGAGACTCCAAATTCAACTTTGAAACATTCAGAAGATTTGGCACCAGTACTGATACGTCTAGGCCAGGGATGGGCAACTGGTGTCCCGGCCCTTTTGTAGGCACGCGGATCAATTTCCACACAAAAAAGAACTCAGAACTCAAGTTTTTAGGAACTCAGTTGGGATCTCAATTTATTGTTGAGAGTTAGAATATTTGAATACACAAGGTGCAAATTTGGTTGTGCATCAGCAGTCTTTCTCCTGTGATGTCAATCGGAAAGACACTCAATTATCCCATGTCAGCTAACATTTTTTTAGATTGGTAAATTAGTCTAGCCAGCTATGTAAACTTGTAGTAATCATAGCCGAATTACCGACCGGGGGGCTCCCACTGATTTTGTTAGTCAGTCTCACTCAGATATCATATTAAAAACTGCAAACATTTCTCTCCACCCTATTGCACAATGTGTAGAATTGCAGGAAATTAGCTGTAAAGCTGCTAATTTTTCTCTCCACACATTGGCAAAATGAGTAGAATGGCATGAAATGAGTTAGAAAATTGCAAAATCTTCTCTCCGCCCCATGGTAAAATGTGTAGAATTGCAAGAAATGCACTTTAAACTGAAAATGTTCCTTTCTGCTGTCAAGAGCAGCAAAATGTTTTGCTCGCAAGGTAGGCCCCCCCAACAAAATTTAGCTTAGGGCCCCCAAAAGGCTAGGGCTGGCTCTGACGGCATGTGTGGGTATGAATGTGGGTACGCAGACCCGTGAGCCACCGCGCCGCACATGATGAGTTCAGATTTTTTGTGGACCCCACGCCCATCAAAGTTGCCCATCCCTGGTCTAGGCCTACAGCTATCAACATATATCTTTCTGTTTCTGCCAGTGTTGTGTCTGAGCTGTATTCAGACTTGTAGTCTGTTGAAAGTCCTACTGGCAGTAACTTACCTCGTTTCCGATGAGGTCGATCTTGTGCTGGACCTGTGGGACCCACTGACGGATGATGGCGAACAGCTCTGGGATGGTGGTGCGCGGATCCAGCAGGATCTCCAGACACGCAGGATCATTTGGGTCAAAGAATGTGAAGACTGGATTGGTAGGGAATGCCAACAAGAGAATTACCTCTCTTGCTATTTTTCGTTCTTGTCCAGACAGCATATTGACTCATTCTGAATGTATGACATTAAATATCTTTAAAAAAAAAAAAATGTTTTATGTAATTTGTATTTTGGGTTGTATTTTTCAGTAGGCCTGTTTGTGCGCTCTATTTAATTACTTATGGAGTTTTCTCTGTTGGACATCCAATCTTTCTGTCCTGTCTGAAAGCACTGTTTCTAAAAGCAGCATGTGGTAGATTGAAACCCTATCAAAGTGCAAACGTTGCACTGAAATAACACAATTGATCTTACTTTGTTTTTATAATAAACCATCATAATAAATGCATTGAAGCTTGTGGGCAAACTGAAATTAAAAGCTTTACATCATGCTAGCCTGCAGAAACAACTTACATTCATTGGCATAGAGTGGAATAAGTCCAGCAGTATCATACTGTTTGCACAAACAGCCCCAAACCAAGATCCATCTACAATAACATGCTATAAAAGTCCTTGTTCACTTATTTATGATAATATACATACATTAAATATTTTCATTATGTTTCTATGAATCTGCAGAGGTTGTTTGACCAGGCAGTGGTCTGTGCTTGGTGAAAGGCTCTTTGTGGATCGAGGCTACAGCAGCACATGGCCCAGAGCCCAAAATCCACTGTTACATATAAAGCAGTGTTGAGTAGGGAGCATTGACAAAGGGCCTTGGCCTGTATTCACAAAACGTCCCAAAGTCTTATTCATTATGATCTAAAAAGCACTACTATGAGACACTTCTTGTGAATATGGGCCCTGGAGACTGAGGCCTATGACCCACCATAGTCTTTGGGGAGGGGGGCCTGGGCAGATGGGTGGACCATGGGCCTCTTCCGGGGCTCGTGAACTGGGCTCTGGTACTCAGAGGCCGGCTGGGCCTCCTCCTCCACCTTGGCAGTCTGCTCTTTAGTCATTCTGCTAGATGTTGCCGGGCCTGGAAAACAAGATGGATGACAAACATTCCTTGTGTGGCACTACTAATCAAACAGCTCCATCGCAGGTTTCTCTGAACAGTTGTCATACGTCTGTGACTCAGCCAAAAGTCACATGAAGTAGTTGCTTATAAGAGTCTTGTTCCCATGGCAGCCTATCTACTCTGACAAGTCTATGCCCTGCAGATGCCCCTCCCAGAGCAGACATTCTCTATGTTTGGCTCTAGGGCCTGTGAAAGACGGTCAGTAGTGACTCACTGATAACTGCACTTACTGACAAGAGATGAGGAGACTCAGGGAGCAGGCAGGCTAATTTATTGTACCATCTCAGTGCATGCTAATGCTAAGTCTTAATGTCCATCATTGCTCTGGACAGAGTTAATGGGCTGAGCTATATTTTCCAAATAGTATATGCAGCAGCAGATCTCGCACACCCGTCCTGACTATGGGAACTCAGGGATGCATGTACTGTACAGTATGTGTTGGACATTGCAGCACTGATTTCTGAGGAGCTGCTGAACAAACAGTAAAACATATATGTAAAAGCCCTATAGTATCAGTATGCCAATGCTAATGCAATTTTATATACAACACAATGGACCCTTTGGTCTATTACATTAATATGGCCTGACTGGATTTCCATCCTAAAATAAATGTTCAAACTCTCATCTAGGTTCAGAGAATAAGCTATGTGTATGTGCTATAAACACCCCTTTAGAACAGAACCACTAACACAACTGAGAAACGGTTTATCCCAACATTGAAATGGGAACAAAGTCTATGATAGCGTAAATTATTCACTGGGTCTTTTTTGTCACGTCCAAGGGTTGCTTCCTCTGATGTCTGACTGCACGGTGAGCACACCACATGTATCTAAAAAAGATCCATCCGGCCTGAAAATGATTACGCTGCCAAGTAATCTAATACAGACTAAATTGTCCATCCATGCCTCTGCTAATCCTTTTTGATTTTGAAAGAAGTCCAGAGAGAGAGGAGAGAGAGAGAGAGAGAGAGAGAGAGAGAGAGAGAGAGAGAGAGAGAGAGAGAGAGAGAGAGAGAGAGCTCATCACACAATCAGTATTGCGCAGCTGTGCTACTTTATCAGTCTACCAACTCATTGTCCAAAGCATTATGGGTTCAAACAATGAGGCAAAACAGAGGCCGTACAGTGGTCTGTGCTGTATTCATTAAGCTTAGGGAAACTACATTAACAGAGACCGATTCTGCTGTGATACAGACATGTACTCAAAGCCAAATGAACAACCCCCACTCTGGCAGATACCATCCTCCTGATACTCAACGAGTTGCCTGTTTCCTTCAGTTGCATCATATTGAGGGGATTCCTAGTCGTGTTCGGATATGGATACATAACATGGATACATAGACAAGATATATCGTAGCCTGGATGATTTGGGAGCAACTGTCCCTGTGCAGTGAGTCACCTTACCTACAAGCTCCTACATGTCTTTCATTTATTCCTTTAATTATATACTTTTTTTTACTGCTTCCCATGATTTGCTGCTGAATCAATAACCACTGCAGAATGGGTGATAAAACACATTGCCTGACATCCCAAAAGGATTACGTTGAAACAAAGGGTATCCATGATATAGAGTCCGATGACTGGTAGATAACTATACCTGTGCAGTGCAATACCTGTCACCTATTATGACAATCCTGCTAACAGAGTCCAGTAATGGCAGCCATCATCTTCTCCTCTGAGTTGCCCTGCTCCTCCTAGTTCCTACCCCAGTAGTGTTTTATAAATGAAGTCTCAGTCACAGACAGCATTTTCACTGCAATAAATGTGATGTATAATTAGCAAGAGCACATTATTTGTTTAATTAAATGAGTACTGTATATGACTTATGCAACAGTGCTCATATGAGTCAACAAGATGTATACATTTTGGAGGCAAATACAGTCAGACAGCAAAATATGAGAAAAACAGGTGCAACAAACGTTACAGATTTTGATCTTCTACTCAATCCATATTGTAATGGAATAAATATCATTTTATCATTTGGCTGGGTCACACTACTGCCATCCTACTCTATTTGACAAATACAATAGGCCAGAGCTGCATTTTTGAGTCATTCATGATAAATATAAATAACATATTAGTGTTGCAATGTGCAATAATGCAAAATGTGCATATCACATTGCTCTACAACGTGCATGATAAAAGGGCTTTTGACAAGCCTATCTGAGAAAATGTGTCAATTCGTGACTGTGCGTAGGAGAGGGCGTGTATTCAGCCAACGAGAAAAAACGCCCCGTTGACAAACAATGAGAAAGATGCTGGAGGAGGAATACACACATGGCATGTGCAACTATTCATTTGATCCAATAACAATGAGAAAACACTTAATATCTGCGCTGATGTCTTATGTTTACGCTTATATTATAAAACGGGCGCAAAATAACATCCACCCATGAGATTTCATGAAACAGTGTTTAAGAGCATCTCCATCTTTCTAGGCTCCGTATCAAGACAAACACACAGGCTGTGAAAAACACAGCACAAATCTAATCTAATCAAACGAAATATATCCAATAATTAGAATCTTATATGCATGAATGATATTCATCTTACCTCAAAACAAGGCTTCTTGATTATCTCAAGCTTTTCCTCGCGGTTCAGCTAGATGAGAACAGCAATGGTGCTGAGGATGGTGCTGTACTGCTGCGAAGGTCTTTCTCTGTGCCTGCGTCACGGGCGTGAGCGCCCATGGACCAAAACGTAGGCTACAATTGTGCGTGTCCTTCCCTGGCATAGGAATTCGCCTAGTTACCACAGTCACAAAATTGCCTACAGTGAGGGAAATAAGTATTTGATCCCCTGCTGATTTTGTACATTTGCCCACTGACAAAGATATGATCAGTCTATAATTTTAATGGTAGGTTTATTTGAACAGTGAGACACAGAATAACAACAACAAAATCCAGAAAAACGCATGTCAAACATTTTATTAATTGATTTGCATTTTAATGAGGGTAATAAGTATTTGACCCCTCTGCAAAACATGACTTAGTACTTGGTGGCAAAACCCTTGTTGGCAATCACAGAGGTCAGACGTTTCTTGTAGTTGGAAACCAGGTTTGCACACATCTCAGGAGGGATTTTGTTCCACTCCTCTTTGCAGACCTTCTCCAAGTCATTAAGGTTTCGAGGCTGACGTTTAGCTACTCGAACCTTCAGCTCCCTTCACAGATTTTCAATGGGATTAAGGTCTGGAGACTGGCTAGGCCACTCCAGGACCTTAATGTGCTTCTTCTTGAGCCACTCCTTTGTTGCCTTGGCCGTGTGTTTTGGGTCATTGTCATGCTGGAATACCCATCAACGACCCATTTTCAATGCCCTGGCTGAGAGAAGGAGGTTCTCACCCAAGATTTGACGGTACATGGCCCCGTCCATCGTCCCTTTGATGCGGTGAAGTTGTCCTGTCCCCTTAGCAGAAAAACACCCCCAAAGCATAATGTTTCCACCTCCATGTTTGACGGTGGGGATGGTGTACTTGGGGTCATAGGCAGCATTCCTCCTCCTCCAAATATGGCGAGTTGAGTTGACGCCAAAGAGCTCCATTTTGGTCTCATCTACTACTTCAGGCCTGTTGAAGTTAAGAGAGGGCGCTGTATAGTCGATATGGTGTCATTTTCACTTGCATGGTAAGTAGAGCGAAACACCTTGAAGTGGCTTATTCGTTGGACACCAATTCCTGCATTAATGTTGTGCGAAGATTCATGTGTCGCCGAGGTCAAGCGTTTCACATAAGGTCAGATAATGGCATTCATTTCATTGGAGCTGAACGAGAGCTCAGAGAAGCATTGGCCACTCTCTGGACCACAGCAAGATACAGAGTGCATTGCTATCAAAGGGATTCAAGTGGAACTTCAATCCTCCTGCTGGTTCGCATCATGGTGGAGTGTGGGAGCGTCTTATTCGTCTGGTGAGGAATGTGCTCTACTCTATTCATACCATTGTGTGTAAAGCAGCGGCAATTCTGAACAACCGCCCCATCACAAAACTCTCAGATCACTCCAAACCACCTACTGCTTTTGAAGGAAAAAACACTCCTTGCTCCTGGACTGTATCAAGACTGTGATCTCTACACCAGGAATTGGAGACAAGTTCAGTACCTGACTAATCTATTCTGGAAACAATGGGTGAAGGAGTACCTCCCATTGTTACAAGAAAGACAAGTGGATCAAACAGAAGATATGTTTTTCCGTGGGAGATCTGGTCTTCATGGATCCTATTGCTTCAAGAGGTTTGTGGCTGATGGGAAAGATGTTGGAAACCTACTCTGACAAGAATGGTCCGGTCTGTGAGACTGATAACCAGAACAGGAGAACTGGACAGACCTGTTACCAATATCTGTCTACTCCAAGAGGGTACAGCCCTGTGAAGAACTCTGACCAACAGAAGTGAAGGAAGATTCACTCACATTTCACTTTATTGGTTCCTCGGTTATGTTTTGGGTAATTGTTGGTTGCAATTAGGGGCCAGTGTGTTGGAGCCAATTTGGGTGTGTCTTATGTTACGATAATATTCGGGTAATTACACCCCAGACCACTAGGTGCACATAAATGGTGGGAAATACACATTTAGGTGATCTAGAAACACACAGGTGTTTGAACGTACGGTGGGTGTGTGGTTAGTGGGAGAGCTCACGGTTCTTACGCAATCAAACGAATGCAAGAAACAAAGGATTGCTACAGTCAACTCTACAGATCAACATGCATTCATGGTAACCACTGTTGCTAAGTTTGAGGCTCGTAAAGAACAAATCTAATTGCTACCATCAATTCACCTAGTGTCATTGGCTACTTAGAAATCTTAGGGTTTTCCGAAGCAAATTGTCATGACGTCATAAAAATGTCTGTATTCTCAGTCGTGTGAAATCCATAAATTATGCCCTAGTGAATTTATTTCAATTGACTGATTCACTTACATGAACTGTAACTCAGTAAAATCTTTG